TCTTGGGGCGTCTTCAAGGCGCTTTGGGCTGTCTGGAGGGCATTTTCGGCATCTTGGATCGCTCTTGGACCGTCTCGGACCATGTTAGGCTCCTTGGGGGGCATTTGAAATGCTCTTGGAGCGCTCTTGGGAGCCTGCTGGGACCTGGCTGGGACCTGGCAGGGACCTGGCCGGGACCTTGCTGGGACCTTGCCGTGGTGCTTTTCGTCTGGGGACCCCCAGGGGCGGCCCCGCGCTCGCGAATTAGAGATATTGTTAACAAGCTACCGGAGATCCCGGAGATCCTAGCACGCCCTCGGCCCGTTGGGAATTCGTCGTGCTTATTTTCAGTAATTCTTTGTCGTTGTATTATCATTATTCGTAGTAGTATTCCTTCTATTCGTATATTTTTGGACATTATGATTATCATCATTGCTTTTATTATCATCATTACTCGTATCATTATTATTACACTTCTCGTTATCCCCCTCTTCCCTTTATCCTTTTCCTCGTGTTCGCCCCCATGTTCCTCTTCCTCTTCCTCCTCCTGCTCCCTCCTTTCACATCGTCCTCTCGTCTCGTCCTCCACCTCCTTCTCCTTCTCCTCCTCCTCTTCCTTCTCCTCCGCTTCCTCCTCCTCCACTTCATCCTCCTCCTCCTGATCGTTGTCGTCGTCCTTCTTATTATCCTCCTCCTCCTCCTCCTCCTGCTCCCCCTCCGTTTCCTCCTCTCCGTAGAATTTCTTGCTCTAGGCCAAACTTGTGTACATATCACTGCCTCAGCGGGGTGGGCTCCCGATCGATCACCGGTTTTCCCAACCCTCCATGTCCAAAGCATGGCAGGCAGCGCGGGCCGAAAAGAGCGTTGTGACTGGACCTGGCGCAGTTGCATCAAAGAAGGGCAAGGCAATCGTCAATTTCGGCTCCTCGCTCAAGTGCCAGGGCTGTCAGCTGCACAAGAAGGACTGTTCCGGCGGCAACGTCACAGCGACGCAGCCGTCCACCTCGGCCAAGTTTCTGGGCAGCAATCAGCCGCCTTGGGCGGGCAAGCCTCTGGCCCAGCAGCCCGCGGAGGCCCAGGCGGAGCTCGCCAGGATGGCCAAGCGGCTCAGGTGCGGTCCTGCCGAAGCTTTTGCAAATTGTGCAGACCGTGACATGGAGGTCGACAGTGGCAACGAGGCGCTGGCGGTGGAGGTCAAGAAGTGCGGGCGCGGCCTACTCGCGCTCGAATGCCAGGGCGACGAGTGGGCGGAGCCTGGAAAAGGCGAATCGGCAGCTGTTCGCCAACAAGCCGCTCCACGCGCGGACGCACGCCCTCGCCAACAAGGTCAAGCAGTGCTCCGAGAAGCTCGAGAAGGCAGCGGCTGCCAGGGGCCCAGGACGGGCTGCTGGCGTTCAAGGACGAGCTGGCGCGCGAGGAGCACGTGCACGCCGACCTCTTGGCCCAGCAGACGGTGCCGCAGGCGGAGCTCGCAGCGCCGCAGCAGCAGGCGCCGACTGCCCCCGCGCCGCGGGAGCCAGGACGGCGCATGTCGGACGACACCATCCACAGCGCGGGCGTCTCGGCGGATGAGCTCTAGAGCCTCGTGCGCACGATGCTGGGGGCCCATCCCGACGAGGCTCGCCCTGTCCACCAGGAGGCCCAACGCGCCTGGCCACGGCGATCGGCAGCCGCGTCAGCGAGCTCGTCGTCTCCAGGCGGGCGTGCGTCGCTGCTGACACGCCCGCCGCAGGTCCTGCGGGCGGCGGGCCCGTCGGCGTCGCCGCGGGGCAGGGCGGCGCGGCCGCCGCGCCCGCCGCGCCGGCGGCGGCGTCGCCCCCCGAGCCGGTAGGGGCCCCGCCGAGAAGACCCACGAGCAGGTCGAGGAGCGCTTGCAGAAGGTCGGACTCCCCGACGAAGGTGGCGAGGAGGCTGTACGCCAGCGGCGCCGAGCTCTGTTGCGCGGGGGCTTCTAACCGAACTATGATGGCGCTGCTTCTCAGCGTGCCGTCTGGAGCTATAGCGAAGGGAATTCTCACCGCGGTCAACATCGCATCGGGCGGCTCACTTGCGGCGTGCGTCGAGGGGCTTCCTGCATTGCAGGTTGTTCTCGCGCAGGTGCACGCGCGCGGGGCGAGGCGACGATGGCGTCGCTGCAGCGGCCGTGAGGAACTGCGGCTACTCGGGCGTCTGGGCGCCGGCGGCCGCCAGCCCCGCCTGCGCCGGCGCGCGTCGGGCGGGGTCGCGGTCGCGGCGCTTGCGCGGACAGACGTCATGGCCACCGCCCCTCCGCATTCGAGCGCGCCCGTGCCGTTCGAGGGCGGGCTCGCGGCGGCGCGCATTCAGTGGGGAGAACGCGGTGGCTTCGTCGCGATCTCGGCGTGCCTGGTCGATGGCGCTGGCCAGAGTGACACCTGCCAGCGCGTCTTCCTCGAGCTGGCGCGCTACGTGGCAAAGCTCAACGCAGCTGGCATCGCCTGGCCGGTCGGGGTGACTTTAACATGGCGACCGCTGCCCCCGCCCCCAGGAGTTGCCGCGCGTCGTCGGGGGTCTGTAGGCCGCGCCGACGGGCGCCGCCTGCCGCCCGCATGCGACTGCGGAATCCTGCATTGGCTATGTCATCTTCTCGAAGAACCTGGCGCCGCGTCAGCAGCGCCCTGCGGTCTTCAAGGGGGCCGCGACGGCGCCGCGCCTGCCCGCCAACGTGGAGATGCTGGGCCAGGCAAGGTTCGGGCCATGAAGGGCCCCGAGGCCATCGGGCCACCCTTCCCATCGGCTGCGGCCGCGGCGTCGCCGACTGGCCCAGGCCTGCGGCGAAGGTCCGATCCGCGCAGACGGTCGATCAGCTGCCCGTGGCCCGGGGCAGCGCCAGGGACAAATGCGCCGGCAGGGCTGGCGCTCTGGAGACGGCTCTCGTCGCTGTCCAGCGGTGCCCCCCCGGTTGCAGGGCCCGCCTTGGCCCGCAGGCCATCGCCTGCCGCGCGGCGGCGAGGCGGGCGCGCCGCCTGATGGGGGTCGGAGCGCGCGTCGCCAAGGCGCTCCGTCAACTTCGCGGCGCCAGCCCGCAGTGCAGACTGGCCGACGCGCAGCGCGACGAGGTCGCGATCTTCCTTCTGGAGAAGAAGGGGTACTTGCATAATGTATGCTAGAACCACCGCGTGGCGTTGCGCCTGCTGCCTGATTGGGTTCAGAGCTTCTTCGGCAGGGAGATTCATGACATCATGATGCACGACTTCGCCTGGCAGGCGAGCAACGTCGTCGAGCGTGCTAGCGCCATCTACGACCGGGTCATCGTCGCGCAGCAGAAGGCGCGGGAGCGGCGGGCGCGCGACGCTTTCTTCCGCGGCGCTGGCAAGGCGCACCGAGGCACCTACGCGCGCGAGCTGCAGCAGGTGCTCCAGACCTGGCATTTGGCAGCAGAAAGAGGCCAGCCGGCACCTGGTCTGCGACCGCGAGATGCGGCCCTGGGTCAAGGCGCGGCACTGCCGCGGCCTTGCGCAGCAGCCCAGGCCCGCCGACTTCGAAGACCGGGCCCTCCCTCCCAAGCTGACGGTCGCCGCGCTGAATGGAGCGGCGCGCAGCTTCGCAACGACCGCGGCGATGGTGCTTGTCAAGCTCGGGATGCGCGCGCTGTCTTTCCCGTCCGACGCGGGGGTCTACGTCTGCGGGCAGCTAGTCATGTGCATCGAGCGCCTCGGGGCGTGGCCTGAGGGGGGGGGGCGCGCCATGTGCCGCATTCCGAAGGCGGCAGGGGGGGCCCGCCTGATCGCGCTCACGCGCTCAATGGTGAGGTGGTGGTCTAAGGCATGCGCCGGCATCTCCAAGCAGCGGGCCATGGAGCACCCCGCCTCTAACATCTGGGGGCACGATGCGGGGCGGCCCCCCCCCGATGCGCACTTCGATTTCGACCTGGAGATGGGAGTCGCGACCAGCCCAGAAGGGCAGGTGCTCACGGCCCTCATGTACGTTTGGAAGTTATCTAGATCATCATCCCAGCGGCCTTCATGCAGGAGGCGCGCGAGCTGGATCTGCCCTTGCGTTTCGCGTGAATGCTCGTCGAGCTGCACAGGCAGCCGCGTGGACTGCAGGCCTTTGGGACTACTTCGCATGAGGTGATCTATTATCAGGGGGCCCAAGCGGGCCGCGCCCGCGCCTGCGCAATGGCGTCCGCCCCCGTCTTCCGCTGGCCCGAGCGGGCCAAGCGCGCGGGGGTTGCCCCGGGGGCTCTGGTCGACGACGTCACGCTGCAGTAGGTCGGCCACAAGGTGAGCAGCATCATCGCGATCCGGGCTGCGGTCGCGCGGTTTCGCGACGGCGCCGAGGAGCTGGGCATCATCGCCCAGCCCGCCGAGTCGGGATTCCTAACGTCATCGACGGCGGTGGCCAAGGCCAGCCGTTGTAACGCAGGAGCGCGCAGCCTGAAGAAGCTATGCGGGGCGCGCAATCTTGGGCGCGACTTCGGCGCCAGCCGAATCAAGCACGAGCGGACCAAGGTGCGGCCAGCGACTCTGGCTAGGCGCCGAGGCAGGCTGGCGCGCTTAAACAGGGCCACGGGCAGGAAGGTCGCTATGCTCTTGAAGACGGGGCTGCTGCCCAGTGGGGGGCATGGGGCAGGCGTCGGGCGTTGTCGACGGCGACCTGGCCTGGCTCCGCGGCGGGGCTGGACGCCTGGTAGGAGCGAGGCCTGGGCCCTCAGGCGCAGCGAGCTACCTGGCGACGCAGCGCGCCAGACAGTTCGACCCTATCTACAGGGCCACTGTCGACATTGTTGTGCGTTTTGCGGCGTCGATCTGGGGGCCTAGGATGTCGCTGGGCCGCCTGCGTTGCGTCTGGTCGATCATCGCGGAGCGCTTGGTGACCGAGCCCAACTGAACCACCGCCAGAGACCCGATGCCCCCCGCAGTCCGAATCCTCACCTTGCGGCGGGTCGGGCGGTACATGTACTGCAGCGCCGCGGCGATGAAGGACGAGGACGCCGCCGTCGACCTCCTCGCCACCAGCCCCATGGACCTCGAGACATCTGGAGGACGGCGTTGCTCGCTGACAAGGGCGGCAGATCATGGAGCACTTGGGTGATATGAAAGGGCGAATGCGAGCTGTGAGCGCGAGCCCTTCGCCTCTGCGCGGGCGCCACTGGCGCGGCGGTGTCGGGCGGCCCTGCGGCCGCTGGCCTGCGAGTCCATTGGTCGGGCGCGCCGTGGGTGCGGCGACGGCAGTTCGTCGCGAGGCTCGCTCCTGCCCCCAGCGGTCTGGCCTGCAACATGCCGTCGGACTCGCCGGGCCACCGCTCCTACGAGTGCGAGGATCTGCCGAAGCCCAGCCTGCTGGGCGGGGAGGCGGACGCCGTTGCCTGAGCGGTTCCGGGGCGCGTGGGCCCCCATGTAGGACGAGCATCTGCGCGTCGGAGGGGGGCGCTCCCAACTTCGACGGGTTCGAGCACGCCGTCGGCATGCCGCTCAAGCCCCCATCGAGTCCTTCCTGCTGCGCGGGGCGTGCCCGTGTGTTTCTGGGGCGACTGGTCCACGAAGGGCCCTGGCGAACTGGGCAACGCTGTCTTCGCAGACGGCTCGGGCTTCGCCGGAAGCATCCCCGAGCTGCGGCGCTGCGGATGGGCCACCGTCCAGCTCCGTGCCCTGGGAGTTCCCGCGCGCGCGGCCCACGGCCCGCTACCTGGGCCGCGGCAGACGGTGGGTCGCGCTGAACGCGACGCTCTCTTGCAGACTGTCTTGTTGCTTGGAGCATCCATCGACGTGGCGTTGACCCGACCTGCTGGCGCTTCAGGCAGAGGCTCGCTCCTGGCGCCCCGATCTCATCCAGGCACAACAACGAACGACAGCCACAGATGAACGGATTTTCCGGGGGGGGCCCATCGGGGGAGAACCCGCCGACCTCGACATGCGCACCTTGGTTGTGGCTATGGTTGATCTGGCCGTCCTGGGACGCCGAATCGACCACGACCAGCAGGAACCTGGATTCGGTGTTCAGACAGTTTTTGGCATGCGCAAGACATCTCCCAGGGCGTGTCCTCGATGTGGTTGTGGTCGCTTGCTGTCCCCGCATCTCAAGCAGGCCGGAGCCACCCGCGCCGCGATCTGGCGCAGGCTGCGGCGGCATGAGCATCGCCCCGACGCAGCCTGGACCCCTGCGCACAAGGACATCCAGACGCACCTAGACCGCGGCCTCAACCCGCTGCTGTACGCCGGCAACATGTGGGCGGACTGGTCCGCGAAGCAAAGGGGCATTCGGCGCGCAGTCACGCAGGTGCATGTGGACTTCCACGGTGTGGAGCTGCAGCGCTACGGGCGCGTGGCCTCCTACATCGGCTGGGCCATGCAGCGATCGCTCAAGCTCGAGAAGTGGGCGCCGTCGCAGCGGCGCGCGCCGACGAGTGCCCTTCGGGCCACGGCCCCAGTCTGATCATCGAGCGCGCGCTGGTCCAGCTGCGGGGCCGCGGCATGGCCATGTGCTGCGCTTGCGGCAAGTGGTCGGCGGCTTCGCCTGGCACTGCGTGGAACCAGTTCGCGACGTCGCCTCGCGAGCCCACCGACTTCTCCAGACTGCGGGCGGCGGCCATCGTCGAGCAATTAGGCGACGACACGCTGGAGCTCTCGTCCGAGGGGGCGATGGCTATCCATGCGCTGGCGGCTCGGAGGATGAGCCATCCCTGGCACCATCTGGCACCTCCGCTGCCCGCGCCATGAGCCACGGGGGACGGGGTGGCCCACCACCTCGAGCACCGCCTCGGCAGGGCTGGACCTACCATGTTCTGCGAGGTCTGCGTGGCGTGGGCGGACAAGGGCACGTCCGCTGCGCTCCTGAAGACATGCAGAGGGGTGCCCACAGCGGAGGGTCACTGCTCGAGAACGTACATCTCCAGCCTGAGCGCCAAGCGGCGCAAGTTGCTGCAGGGGCGGCATCCCAGGGCTGGGCTTGCGCTTGCCTGGAGGTGCGAGCAGACGAGCAGTGGGGCCGACCGCCCCCGAGGCAGCCGCCGACGGGCGGTTGCCCGATGCCTGCCTCGGGGGCGATCCGCACAGGCGTGCCCCCGACGGGCACGCCGACGCCACGCGGGTGGAGTTCAGTGGAGGCCCCACTCCCAGGGGAGGGGTCGACCCCACTTTGGCGGCCGCCGACGGGCGGATGGCCGATGTCTGCTGTGGGGGCTCTCCGCACCTGCATGCCCTCGATGGAGGGGTGGCCGAAGCCATGCAGGTGGGTTGCAGTGGAGACCCCTCCGCTGGCTCGAGCTCGCCAGGTCCTCGTGCGGCAGCTGATGCCACGAGGACAGCCACGCTGGTTGTGGCAGGAGTGGCCCCTGACGAGGGGGTGGTCGATGCCCACCCCACTGGCGAGAAAGGACCTCGTGCCGCCTACGGGCGCATGGTCGATGCCACGAGGGCGGGCGGGCGAGCTGGCCCTGTCGCCGACGGGCGGGTGGTCGTGTCCTCTTTTGGGCCGCTCTCCCGTGCTGCCGCTGGGCAGGTGGCCTCAGCCACGGGAGGGGCTATGGCGGCGGGGGCGCTGCTGCAGCGGATGGGTCAACGGCTCGACGGCTCGACCAGCTGGACCAGCTGGGCGGCTGACCGCGCGGCGTGCTGGCGGCCACCGTGCCGTGCCCGCTTCCCACGTGGTGCTGTTCGACGGCTCCCTCGCGGAGCACTTTATTCCTGACCTCGTCTGCGGTCCGCGGCCCCCTGGCCGCTTGCCACCGTTTGCTCGGCCCTTCGGGCGGACGCGCGCCGCACTGCTCCCACTCCTCCTCCTCTTCCTCCTCCTCCTCCCTCCTCCTCCTCCTCCTCCTCCTCCTCCTCCTCCTCCTCCTCCTCCTCCTCCTCCTCCTCCTCCTCCTCCTCCTCCGCCTCGTCATCATCATCATCATCATCATCATCATCATCATCATCATCATCATCATCATCATCATCATCATCATCATCATCATCATCATCATCATCATCATCATCATCATCAACAACATCATCAACAACATCATCATCATCATCATCATCATCATCATCATCATCATCCTTTTCAGCAGCATCAGCATCATCATCAACATCAACATCATCATCATCATCATCATCATCAGCATTATCATCATCATCAGCATCAGCATCAATATCAGCATCATCATCATCATCATCATCATCATCGTCATCCTCATCCTCAGCATCATCCTCATCATCATCATTATCATCATCAACATCATTCTCATCATCATCATCATCATCATCATCATCATCATCATCAGCAGCAGCAGCAGCATCATCATCATCATCATCATCATCATCATCATCATCATCATCATCATCATCATCAGCACTGTCGTCGTTGTCGGTTTCCCCTTTTCCTCATCTGTCTCCTCCTGCCTTCTCCGCACACCGGTGCGGCGAGCCCCTCCCTCCCGTCTTCTCCTGCTCCTGCCGCTGCTCCTCCCTCCCATCTCCCCAGTCCCCCTTCTCATCCCAGCCCAGCCCCCCAGCCCTTCCCATCTGCCAGCCCTTCCCATCTCCCAGCCCCTCCTCATCCCATCCCAGCTCCTCTCCCCGCCTCTCCGCCCCTCCCCATCCCAGGCCCCGACCTAGGCAGTGTGCTCGTGATTTCGTTGGCCGTGTTCCTGCAGTCGGGGAGCTGAAGAATGAACCCTTTTCATCGGGGAGGGGCTCCGTGTTCCTTAATTGTTTCGCAGTTTGCCTCAGGTTTTCCTTAGGTTTTCGATAGGAAATCGAAGTTTAACTTATGGAAGATAGGGGCCTCGTTCCTTATTTAGGGTTCCTTAGGCCAACGCGCCGACTGTACCCAGCTTGTCCTGCAGCAGAGGCGGAAGGATTCGCTCTCGAGCAAGCACAGCAGTGCTACCTATGCGTCGGCCACGCGGGGGCGACGCGCAGGCTCGGACAGCTTCTCGTACGAGCTCCGCGGCGGGGGCTCTTTGGCCATACCTCTCGGGACACGCCGTGCTGCCAGGTTTCGCACAGTCGGGGCCCTGAAGAAGGAACCCTTTTGGTTGGGGAGGGGCTCCGCGTTCCTTAAGTGTTTCACAGCTTGCCTCAGGTTTCCCTTATGTTTTCGATAGGAAATCGAAGTTTAACTTATGGAAAAAAGGGGCCTCGTTCCTTATTTAGGGTTCCTTAGGTCAACGCCCCGACTGTATGTTCGGGCTGGGCGTGCGTCTCCAACAGAGGCACATCGTACCATTACGTCCTTCTGCGTCCCCGGGGAAGACAAAGCGAGGGAGCACGAACGCGAAACGGAAGCGTAGGACACCGTTTGGGTCGAGCCCCACTTTCGGACGCAACTCTTGGGAGGTCAGATTCTGATTTTGCCCTGGTCCGAAATCTGGCTCAATCCCGCTTAATCCCGCTTAATCCGGCTTAATCCCGCTTCATCCGAGGCCCACCCCGGCGTAATAGTTCCCAAACGGGGCTCACTCCTCCTCAATCTTTCCGACGAAGACCTCCCAGCAGTTGCCTCCTGACCTGCCTCATCCGGCCCTCCCCCCCTGAGGTCTGCGCACTCGCCGTGGCGCGCCTCGCGTGCGAGGGCCCCGCCTGCCGTGCGGCTGCTGCGGAGGCCGCCGCGGCGTCCCAGGAGCTCGGGGGCACCTCGGCCGCTGCAGCCGGAGGCGACGCCGAAGACGACGCCGACGACGGTGACGACGCGGAGAGGAGGAGGGACGATTGAGGAGAGGAGGAGTTTTCCAGAAAGCGCATCTTTGCAGAGAGGGAGGAGGGAGGAGGGAGTAGGGAGGAGGGAGGAGGGAGGAGGGAGGAGGGAGGAGGGAGGAGGGAGGAGGGAGGAGGGAGGAGAGGAGGAGGAGGAGGAGGAGGAGGAGGGGAGGAGGAGGAGGAGGAGGAGGAGGAGGAGGAGGAGAAGGGGAGGAGGAGGAGGAGGAGGAGGCGGAGGAGGAGGAGGAGGCGAAAGGGGAAGGCGCGACGATCAGGAAGGCTCGCGAGACTTCCCTCGGCTACACGCAAGAGTGACCCTTTGCCGCAGTGACCTTCGGTGCGCGGCTTTCGAGGGGTGCGGGGGGTGGGTGTGGGGGCGGGGGCAGATCCAAGCACGCAGGCCGCCACCGCCGCACCGCACGCAGGGATCGGCCAGCCGCGCCCCAGAGGTCGTCCTCGCCTTGGGTCGCTCCTGCGTGCGGCCGGCTCCCCGACCGCCGGCGGCGGCGCCGGCGCGGGCGTCTCCCCGACGCAGCGGCGACGCCGGCGCGGGCGTTCCAGGCGCGGCACGAACGAGATGGGCACGTCCTCCTCCTCCTCCTCCTCCTCCTCCTCCTCCTCCTCCTCCCTCCTCCTCCTCCTCCTCCTCCTCCTCCTCCTCCTCCTATGGGTACGAAGGCCGACAGCAGTTCTCGTTCTCGGCGGCGCTCCCAGAGGGGAGGTGAGGAGGGGCGGGCCGTGTCAGAAGGCTCGGAGGTCCACCGGCCTTCCGAGAAGTGTTCTAAGCCTCCCCGAAGACGCAAAGCACGTCTCAAAAGACCGAAGCGCGTCTGAGAAGCCCCGCCTTCTTCTTCTCCCTCTCACTTCCCCTTCTTCGCTCTCCGCCGATGTCAGTGTTGCCGGGCGTGGTCTTACAAGGAAGGTAAATTCCAGAAATCAGAGCGTGAATTACCTCCCCCGCTTTCGCTTCCAGGCAAAACCAAGCCATACCACGCGCCTCCTCGTCAAGCGGCCTGACCAGTACAGGCCGCAATTTGGCATCGTTTGGTATCTCTTGGAAGCGAGGGTGGTCAAAAGCGAGGGAGGTTTGTTTTCCCCCTAAGAAACATGTGTTGATGTGTTGTGCATATGTTGTCTCCCCGCGGTCCGCCTGCCTCCACAGGCGCCGTGCGCCGGCTGGCTTTGCCGAGGTTCGCGCGGGGGCCCCAAATATGGTGCGTCCGTGAAGGGTGGGGAGCGCCAGTGGCAGACAATCAAACGTGGCCCGCAATTCCCCTCTCTCTCCAAGAAGAAAAGGAACGGCTGTGATGGGGCTCGCGGACGGGCCAAAAAAGCTGCCCGAAAATCCTCTCACCCGAATCGCCCTGGACAGGGCTCGCAGAAACTGCGGGCCAAACAACATGGCCCGCCAATCTCCTCCGCTCGCGCCACTTGCGGGCCCCAAGAAATTGCCCGCAGATCCCCGTTCCCTCCAGGGAGAAAAAGACAAGGCGATTGCTGGGCTCACGGAAACTGCAGGCCCAAAGAAAACAGCCCGCAAACCTCCCCACCCGCAAGGGCCTGGAATGGGCTCCCAGCGTCTGCGGGCCCCCCAAAAATGGCCCGCGAATCTCCTCACCAGAATGGGCTTGCATTGGGCTGCGAGAATCTGCGGCCCTCAAAAATGGCCCGCAAATCTCCTCACCGGAAAGGGCTTGGATTGGGTTCCCAAAATCTGCGGGCCCCCAAAAAATGGCCCGCAAATCTCCTCACGCGAAACTCTGGGACTGGGCTACAACATGGCCCGCAGATCTCTTCGGCTCGCCGAACCTGCGGGCCAAAAACAATGGCCCGCAAATCTCCTCACCCGAACCTCCTTGGATTGGGCACCGGAGACACTGCGGGCCAAGAAAAAAGTGGCCCGCGAATATCCTCATCCGACTCTCCTTGGATACGGCTCCGGGACACTGCGGGCCAAAACGATATGGCCCGCAAATCTCCTCGGCTCGCGGAGATGTCAGGCGCAAAGTGAAAGAACTAGGCAGGCGGGAGCGCGGGCCGCCTTCCACTGGAGTGGGCCAGGATTGGGCCTGCGAAAAAGTGCAGGCCAACAGAAAAGTGCCCGCACATTTGCGGGCCAAAAACATTGGCCCGCACATCGGCGGGCCAAAAAAAGAATGGCCCGCAAATTGCACAGGGTTGAACGTGTCGGCGACGAGATTTGAGCCCTACATGGCCCCATACGGAGCTCCACCGAAGACCCCAGTGGGGGTGCCCGCATGCGTCCTCCATACCCAGTGCAGCGTTTCGTGGCCCCATAGGGAGCTCCACCGAAGGCCCCAGCAGTGGGGGTGCCCGCATGCGTCCTCCCCACCTCCACCCAGTACAGCGCTCCGTGACCACATAGGGAGCTCCACCGACAGCTCAAATGGGGGTGCCCGCATGCATCCCCCCCACCCAGTGCAGGTGCCCGCATGCGTCCCCCACCCCCAGCACAGCGTTTCGTGACCCCATAGGGAGCTCCACCGAAGGCCCCAGTGGGGATGCCCGAATGCGTCACCCACACCCAGTACAGCGTTTCGTGGCCCCATAGGGAGCTCTACCGAAGAGTACAGTAGGGGGTGCTCGAATGCGTCCCCCCACCCAGTGCAGCGTTTCGTGGTTCCAATGGGGAGCTCCACCGAAGGGCCCAGTGGGGGTGCCCGCATGGGTCCCCCCCACCCAGTGCAGCGCTTCGTGGTCCCTTCGGGGGCCCACCGACAGCCCCAATGCTACCACCCGCATGCGCCCCCCAACCCAGTACAACGCTTCGTGGCCCCATAGGGAGCTCCACCGAAAACCCCTGTGGGGGTGCCCGCATGCGTCCCCCCAACCAGTGCAGCGCTTCGTGACCCCATAGGGAGCTCCACCGAAGGCCCCAGTGGGGGTGCCCGCATGCGTCCGCCACAACCAGTGCAGCGCTTCGTGGCCGCATAGGGAACCCCACCGAAGACCCCAGTGTGGGTGCCCACATGCGTCCGCCACGCCCAATCAGTACAGCGCTTCGCAGTCTCATAGGGAGCTCCACCGAAGGCCCCAGTGTGGGTGCCCGCATGCGTCCGCCACACCCAGTACAGCGTTTCGTGGCCCCACAGGGAACCTCACCGAAGGTCCTAGTGGGACCGCCCGCAAGCGCCCACCACAACCAGTACAGCGCTTCGTGGCCCCATATGGAGCTCCACCGAAGGCCCCAGGTGGACCGCCCGCATGCGTCCGCCACACCCAGTACAGCGCTTCGTGACCCCATAGGGAGCTCCAGCGAAGGTCCCAATGGGACAGCCCGCATGCGTCCCCCCCGCACAGTACAGCGCTTCGCAGTCTCAAAGGGAACTCCACCGAAGGCTCCAGTGGCACCGCTGCGCCCCCCCCCATCCAGCACAGCGCTTCGTTGCCCCATGGGGAGCTCCAGAGAAGGTCCGAAAGCAGCAATTGAGGATGCATCGCCCATGCAGGGCCCAGAAAGACACCATTGCTGGGACCCTGCGCCCGACCCCCGCTGTCACCCTCCAACAGGAGCGCCTGCTGGCAGCCAGGGCGGCCGCGTCGGTGCTGGCGGCCGCGGCGGTGGACGTCGGCGCCGGGCGCCTCACGCGGGCACCTGGGGCGGCCGGGGCGGTGCTGGCGGGCGCGGCCCTCGCGGTCCGCCAGAGGCACCGGGCCGCGGCGGCCCTGCAGGCGGCGGCGCGGAGGCTGCGCGCCCTCGCGGGCAGACTGCGCTCGGTCGGCGGGCGCGGGCGGTAGCCGGCGCCGGCCGCCACCTGTGGCGGCGCCGGGCCCCATGGCGATCTGGTGGGTGCGAGTCGATGTCGTTTTCGGCCGCTTCGATCCGAGTCGATGTCGATCTCTGGGCGATCCGAGGAGGCCCGATGCTCAAATTGGCGCTGCTGTGGTTCCTGGTGCAGCCGATGCGATCCGGTTTCGACGCCGTGCCGATGCGGCCCGAGCCGACGTACATGAGCCCGTTTCTTGATTGCTTGGGGCATGACGGGCGTCATGGCCCCCGCTCCCCCCCCCCAATGACGTAACGCTCCCCCCCCCAGTGCGCTCCGGGCACTGCCGCCGTGCGTTTTGGGATCCGCGTAGCCGTCCGCGCAGGAATCCGCATAGGAGTCTGGTCCGCAGTCGTCGTCGTCGTCGTCGTCGTCGTCGTCGTCGTCGTCGTCGTCGTCGTCGTCGTCGTCGTCGTCGTCGTCGTCGCAACGATTCCGAATCGATTCGATGCCGACCGACCCCGCGGCGCGCAGGCCGCGCGCACTCGTGGGCGGAGCCCGCTCTCGGCCGGCGGGGCCGGCGGGCGCTAATTGGCGGGCTGCGCTCGGCCGCCGCCTCGCCGCAGCCTGAGCGCGTCGTGTGCTCCAAATTCGTCCCGGCCTGGGCTCTCTCACGGCGGACCGTGCGCTGAAGGAAGTCCTCCTCCTCCTCCCCCTCCCCCTCCCCCTCCTCCTCCTCCCCTCCCCCTCCTCCTCCCTCCTCCTCCTCCTCTTCCTCCTCCTCCTCCTCCTCTCCTCCTCCCTCCTCCTCCCCTCCTCTCTCCTCCTCCTCCTCCTCCACCTCTCCTCTCCTCCTCCTCCTCCTCCTCCTCCCCTCCCCCTCCCCCTCCCCCCTCCTCCCTCCTCCTCCTCCTCTCCTCCTCCTCCCTCCTCCTCCTCCTCCTCCTCCTCCTCCTCCTCCTCTCCTCCTACTCCTCCTCCTCCCCCTCCCCTCCTCCCTCCTCCTCCCCCTCCTCCTCCTCCTCCTCCTCCTCCTCCTCCTCCCTCCCTCCTCCTTCTCCTTCTCCTTCTCCTCCTCCTCCTCCTTCTCCTCCTCCTCCTCCTCCTCCTCCTCCTCCTCCTCCTCCGCTGGTTTTCCTTATGCACAACTACTCCTTGTCGCGCCCCCCAGACGTGTCGGCACAGCGGGCTGGACATTTCGCCCGAGACTTCCTCACCATTTGTGGCCCTGGAGTTTGAAATTTGCAACAGCTTCAAGGATGGAGGGCGGGTGGTTTTCAAAATGTGGTCCTCGCCTCAGCGCCGCGCACGTTTGTCTCGAAAGCCTGCAGCAGCTTCAAGGATAGTGGCTCTCGCTTCAGTGCCGCACGCACTCGTTTGAAAAGTTTGCAACCGATTCCAGGGTTTGCACGATTGTCCCAGGAATGATGCTCTGGCACGGCTTAAGATTGGCAGGACGCCGCAGGCACGCTGATTCGCGGTTTTGAAGTCCTAGAAGTAATGTTCTGGCACGATTTAGGAGAGTCAGGACGCAACAGTCACGTTGATTCGCGGCGCTGAATTCCCAGGAATTGTTTTTTGACACGATCGAGGACTCTCATTGGTTTGTCTTCCACTTCAATGTGGAACTTCCCGCAATGGAAATCAACTACGAAGATGGAATTGGAGGGAGGGCGTCTTGCAACAATCATCGTTGCTGAGTCTTGGGTTTGCACTGGACCACCTCCTCTTCCTCCACCTCCTCCTCCTATCATGTTCCACGCTCACCGCGTTTAACATGCCGAAGCCCACATGTTGGGCATCGAAGCAATTCCCCCGAAAACTGCCGGACCATCGGCCGACCAGCAAAGTCGGTTACCGATTTGGTCATGTGGTCCCTGATTGATCATCTCATGACGCCGTGCATCCTCCTCTTCCTCCTCATCCTGTGATAACGGAAAGAGCGAGGTACGAGTGATGACGTTGTGTTTGGGCGAAGCCCTCTAGGGAGGGGTCCATGGGGAGGGGGGAGGGCCGGAAGGATGTGATCTAATGGCCGTTCGGGGCGTCTTGGAGGCCTCTTGGGCGCTTCTTGAGCCGTCTTGGGCGCTCAAGACGGTCCAAGAGGGGTCCAAGACGGCCCAAGATCCCTCCAAGACGGCCCAAGAGCGCTCCAAGAGAGCCCAAGACCGCCGAAGCCGGCCCAAGAGGCCTCCAAGACGCCCCAAGAGGCGCCCAAGGGGCGTCCCAAGAGGGCCCCAAGAGGCCAAAAACATGGATCTTCCTTAGAATCACTTGCATTTTGAGCATGCGCGACTTTTCGGCCTCCACGGCGTCGACGACGGCCCAAGAGGCCCCCAAAACCGCCCAGGACGGCCCAAGAGGCTCCCAAGAGGCCCCCAAAACGGCCCGAGAGGGCCCCAATACGGCCCAAGAGGCACCCAAGACGGCACAAGATGGCCCCAAGACGGCCCCAAGAGGGGGACCACGAACCGAAAAGTCTAGCCTTTCGCTCCAAGACGCTCCCAGGAGGCCCCAAGAGCCCCCCAAGAAGCCCCAAGAGGCGTCCCAAGAGGCCACCAGGAGGCCAACATCATTGATTCTCGATAGGAAACGTACATTTTCAGCATGCACGGCTTTTCGGCTTTCACGGCGTTGACGACGGCCCAAGAGGCCCCCAAGACCGCCCCAAGACGGCCCAAGAGGCTCCCAACAGGCCCCCCAAACGGCCCAAAAATGCCCCAAGACGGCCCAAGAGTAGTCCCAGCACCTGATGGCCGTAGACCGCTTGCGGGAGAGCTCCCGTGGCCCACAGCCCGTGGGGCTCGCGCACCAGCGCCGACTTCTTTCTCAACCGGAGGATGCGTCGGAGCCTCCTCGCCCCCGCCCGCTGCCTGGACGCCGTCTTGGTGCAGGAGCGCCAGCGCCCTGCCGGTGTGCCTACACCGAAGTCTGCCGCCGAGCTGACCGGGGCGCCGAGGGCCCTGGCGACCGCTTCGCCCAGGCCAGCACTGGTGGCCAGGAGCTTCCTCTTGCCCGAGCAGACCACCTCTTGCCCATCCATGCCCTCCTGGAGCACCCCCGCCACCTGCGGCAACGGCCTGCTGACCGAAGCCTCCGAGCCCTCCACGCGGACGACCGTGTCGTCGATGGACGTCCACAGTCCCGCCTCTGGTCGCACCGCATGTGCCTGCTGCAGGATGGGGTGGAGGTAGAACTTCCCCAAGGAGACCCCGTGGCCAGAGCCAGCCGCCGCCGAGAGCATCACCCCCACAGGCGGGGACAGCCCACAGAAGCGGTCGCGCAGCATCCGCGGGGCCGGGAGCACCTGCGCCTCCAGGCCCACCGCGATGGCTGGGTGGCCCACCCGCTCCGCGATCCCGAGGAGGCGCAGGGTCGACACGCCGTCGCAGAAGGTCTCCTTTGTCCAGGAGCAGCGGGGGCGAGGCGACCCTGGGCTCCTCCAGGACCGCCCAGGCGAGCGCCGCGCGGCGGGCGCTGGAGCCGCGGGTCGCCGTGTCCCAGAAGGCCCCCAAGCTCTCCGACCTCTCGGTGGCGCTCGAGACCCGCGCCGGCGACCGCACCCTCGGCGCGAGCGGCGGCATCCCCACGACGCGCTCCCCGCCCGTCGGCGTGGCGAGGGCGGCGCCGATCACGCCCGGGAGCGGCCGCGGCCGGCAGCCCCACACCTCGCACTCGCGGAGCAAGCCGAGGAGCTCCTGCTTGCCCTCGTCGGGCAGCCGCATGACAATCGTTGCCACCGAGGCCGTCGACGCCTCTCGCCTAGCGATGCCCCTGGCCTCGGAGCCCCTTCATCATCGCATCCATCTGCAACTCCACGATCTGGTCCTGCCTGGCCCTGCGAAGCATGTCCTCCACGCGCTGGACCAGCTCCTCCCGCGTGTCTGAGGTAGCCGTCCACAGCTTGCCCCAGCGCGCGGCCTTGGCGTCCATGACCGCCTCGGGAGCAGCCACAGTGGCCTCGCCGACGCACGCCTCCTGCGGCTGCAGCACTGGGTCCTTGACGTGGCGGTGCAGCATGCCAGGCTGCTCAGCCCACGCCTTCCTGGCCCATGCAGTGAAGCTCCTGCGCTGCTGGACGAGCGCGCTCCCTGACTGCGCGCGAGGTGGTTGTCCCTAACTTCCACCACGACGCCCAGCTCGGCCGGGGAGAGCTCCACGGCATCGCGAACCAGCGGCAGCCACGTTTCCCGCTCCGACTCCGTCACCTGCTTGCCGAAGTGCGCGTCCACATCCAGCCAGATGCGGTCCGCCTCAGCCTGGAGCCGGCGGCTGGAGAAGCCCAGCTGCGCCTCTTGGAGGGCGAGATCCTTGGGCTTCCGCTCTCCCTCCACCGGCCGCCGCAACAGTGCCACTCCCCGCAGTAGGGTAGCAGCCACGCCCCATGCCTCGGCACACTGGTCCTGCATGTGTGCGCGGCCAGGAGCCGCCCTGACTGCAACCTCTTTCAGGCTGTACCCTGGGCTCGCCCGCTGAACCTGTGGCGCTCCTCTCTGGGGACCCCGCTGGCGTCCAGTAGGGCTGCTCCCACGCGGGACACTCATGTGGCGTAGAGCCCGCTGACAGCACTATCCCCTTCACCCGCCAGCTCGTCGAGCCTGTGGTCCCCCAAGGCATGCATTGCCGTCGAAGCCAAGGCCCTCGGTCTTCCAGATGGACTCTCCTCCACAGCGCGGCATCATCCCTCCTCCGAGACGTAAAACTCCTGCTGCCTCGCCCCAGCTCCTGCAGCTGGCGCTGCGCGCGCTGCGGCCACCTCCACCAGCCGCCCCTGCACACTTGGTTCTGCCGCTGACCTCGAAGCGTGTTCCGTACCCGTCGTCCTCACGAAGGCGTTGTCGTCTGCGGATGTCGGCTCGGCGGGCTGCCCCGGCGGCCCGGTCCGCCAGGAGAGCTGCAGTCCGCCTGCGACTCGCCACCGAAGCCGCCAGGGCCCCGGCCCCCAGCACGTCCGCTCGTGGCCTCGGGCTGGCCCGCCGCCGAGCGGGAGGCTGGGGAGGCCTCCCCAGGCGGCCGGAAACTGGGGCCAGT